TTTGTAACCGCTAACAGTTTGATCAAAGCCTTCCAAATGAAGAGCTTTGCAGCTATCCCGTCGTTTTCTTTGGAAAGACCAACGACCAGAAAGAATGTAAATTTAATGGCGGATTTCGAAAAAAAAGGTGTCTTATGCAAATGTTGGTCCTTCGAGGAGAATTTTTCTCAGCGATAGTAAAAAAGTACTGACAAGACCAGATCTGATGGAAGTGATATTCGCCCATGCTGTTAATGTTTTGGTGGTAAACAGAAACATCAGGGTGACGAAGTATAACACATTTATTTCTTGGATGTTTCAAGCATTTGCTGCACATAACATACGATCTAGAATGTTGCAGTAGATGTGAATCTGGCTACTCGCGATTTGTCCAGAAGAAGATCCATATCTCTTTGTTTCCTTAAAAACGAGGATGAATCTTATAGATGACATATAACCACGTACTGAAAGTTATCTACGCATACTGGCCGTGACAACGACTTTCAGCACTTGCATATATACGAACCTTTGACGAAACCTATCTAATATGCGTGTCTATCAGTGCCGAGAACGCATCCAGGAAGAAATGCAGCCGGAAGAGCAAATCGAGGTACAAGCAGAGGAAGAAGTGCTAGAAGAAGGAGCTAACGCAGGTAGAAGAGGGAGAGGAGCAGATACAGAAAGAGCGAGGTGAAGTCGCGCAAGAGCGAGTGCTACCAGTGTGAGGACATGGGCTGCCAGCTGATGTACAAGAAGGTGGCGGTGGAGAAGTAGTACCTGTTCAAGAGCCAACATTATATCCTTTTTTTTCGTATCAGGAGAAAAGGAATTTGATGGAAGGTTCAATACCACTTCTAATGGGCAGTAAGCAATGAGAAGCGTCATCATCAGGATGCTAAAAATGAAACGAGAGCTATGACTGATCACGAGACAAAAAGAAGGAGCAATTTCCACCGTGACTACGATATGCTGGTGAACTCGAAGGATTTTGATGGCGCTGAGGGAAAAAACTTCTGAATGCCCTAATGCCAATGTCAAGCTTCAGACCAATTCTTAAAGAATGGAGGAATGGGAAACTGCTGAAAATTCGATGTGAGCTGTGCTACGAATATCATGCGAGCAAAGAAGCCCAATCCTCTCTTATGGAATTTCCTAAAAGGGTGGAAATGACATTACATTGAAGCTACTTGATACAGTGTTAAGGAACCACATACGAGTCAATCAAAGAATACACCACTTGGCGGTGGCAGAGTACACGGAGAAAACTAGTGAGCGAGTGAATAAGTACCTCGAAGCCGTCGATAGGGCTCCCACAGATCCTGGTGTTCGGGAAGCCGTCTTTTTATGTTGGCTTATATAGCAGCAAAAATGTATCTGCCTGCATACCAGTTCCCAACACTTTGAGAAGCTTGTTAAAATGGGACTAGATAAGGAAAAAACAACAAACGCGTGATGGTTTCGTGAAAATGACAGCTTTTATTAGCAAGAGGATGAAGAAGACATTGATTGATTATCTTCGTAATAATCAGTCTCCATTTTTTTTTTGCTGGTTGACATTTCTACAGACCCAAATAGCAGACAAATCTTCCTTCTTTTTGTCCGTCCCTGATCGAATGTCGCTACACCCAACAACTCATTTTCTGGAAGCGACAGAGATGGTTGAAGCTGAAACTGGAAGATATATCTTCGAGAAAATTTATACCTTTTTCGCAAAAGGAAACCTTCTGGATGAGTATGCGTTCAATTGTAGCAGTGGCTACAGATGGAGCTTCAGTCATGAACGCGGAAGGAGGTCTGCGCAA